TTTCAGCTTTGTAGACTTTGTGGTTCCCGTGATAATTTACCCACGAAAACTTTCACGGAGCCGCAGGTGATACCCGAGAGTGCGGGAACGCCGAATTTGAATTTGCGAGATCGTTCGTGGGCAGGAGGTCACAACCCTAAAATTTCAGCTTCTTAGACTTCGTCGTTTCCGAGACAATAATTTACCTGTCAAAAATTTTCACGGGGCCGTAAATGATACCCGCGGGCAGAGGAATGCTGAATTTAAATTTTCTGGCCAGCACACGGGCGGTGGACGTGCCCACAAAATTTCAGCCTTCCAGCTTCCGTGGTTCCAGAGATACTGATTTTACCCGAAAAACTTTACGGGGCCGTACGTATTACCCGCTAGTACGGGGAGGCTGAATTTAAATTTGCCGCGTCACCTGTTGGCGGGGGACACTATACTAAAATTTCAGCTACCTAGCTTTTGTGGTTTCCGAGTTGAAAGTGCGACACACACACACACAAATACAACCCCGTGACAATATGCGTTTTGTACTGCTGTTTCACAGCACAAAACGTATAAAAACAATTAAGCACATAAAATGATTTTCAGACCCGTTTTTGAAATTTTTTTTTTTTTGGTCCTTAACTGACAGTGGCAATCAAACATACGGCTTGATGTTGCGCTTTTGCAGTCAGTCACCAGCCTGAGGACACAGATGTCAACTGTTCTTTTGTTAAGCTGTTCTACATGGAATTGTAGCAAAACAGAAAGGGAAGGGACAGTGAAGCATGTTTTTATGGTCAGCAACCTGGAAGGGGGTGATTTCTAACAGTGAATATTCGTTCCACAAAAATGCCCACTGGGAAGCACAGCCAAAATTCGAAAGAGTAAAGAAGCACTGTGCTCGAACTAAAAATGCAGCAAATTTTCCCGCGCCCCTCGCACTTTAAATTAGACAAGCGTGTTTTTTAAACGAACGCTGTTTGACAGTCACAGGTATGGCAAAAATAAATCACGTCTTCACCGAGATTATCGATTCCGTTTTCTCGTCAACCCTGATTCAGTCTGCCTTCGTTTCCGCCTTCTTTGCTGATCGTTACTTTCATCCATTAAGGTCTTCTTCTCGTTCTCCTCTGACTGTAACAAAATCTAATACAGTGTAGAAACAACATGCCGCATACTGTGTTTTCGAAAAGCCTCAACTGGTTAATGGCTTTACAGTTTTTAAGCAAAAAATGTAAATTTATGTCTGCGGTGGTTAAGTCAGGGCAATACCCGTACCTAACTTTGTGCACAAAAAACTGAGAGTAACGCAGCCGATACTGCTATCTCCTAAAACAGGCGAAATAAGGATTTGCATAAAAAGTACTGCTCCACCTATGAGCCAGAAATAACTTAGAAAATCGGATTTTTTATGCGCTTTTTGCACATTTGCAAACTGCAAACACGCATATTGCCAAGAGGCCGTATTTGTGTGTCTGTGTGTTTGCACTTTTTGTCATCCAATTTCAACTCGAGAACCAATGAGGATGAAACTTTGGGAGTATGTGCCCATACCATGTCCGACCCTCTCGTTTTAATATCATCGCCCGCGTGCGCGTGGGTCCCACGTATGCCTTAAAAGAATACGCAAATTTTTTATCTGGAAAACATTCTCGGGATCCAGCTAGGTAGTGAGTGAAACATGTGCTAAAAATTTTAAATTCAGCCCCAAGGGGTTCGCGGTTCACAAGTATGAGCACGTGAAAATTTTGAGGGAAAATTGCTAACTCGGTAGCAAGAAAAGCTAGAAGGCTGAAATTTTAAGGGGCTGTTCCCTACCCACGATTTCAAATTCAGCCCTCAGGAATGCGTGACAGGAATGCGTGATAGGCACTTAAATTTTTTGGCATGAAAATTGTTCACTGAAAAGCTAGGTCGTTTTTAAAAAACGATCGCTAAACGGAAATTGTTTATTTTCGTTCGTGAAAAATTTACGATGATTTACGGTAGTGACCGCACAAGGTATGAAACAACAACCATTCATGCAGTTATTCTAATAAATTCAAGTTTGGTGCAAAAACGCATGATCGCACCGGCAAGCTTAGTGCGTTCCAGTCTAGGTTTTTTCCTGAAGAACGTATGTTGGTATCACATAGCACATAAAGCTGAATTACTCTTAAGGAATCTAAACAAATTTTGAAAAACCACTTTAGTTGAAGGAAAAGGTCCTGTCCTTATCTCTGAGAATCCAGAAATGAACAACTGGCTAACGCACAGGCTGCCCGTGCGAAGATGCGTTTTTTGTATAGTTCCCCGCAGATTTTTGTCGCTACCGGCACCTGTTTTTCCGGCAAATGCTTCTAGCTAAACAAATTAAGACTGGTCGCCAGAACTGTCAGGAAACATTCCCTCAAAACTTCAACTTTTTAGCTTTCCTGGCTCCTAAGTTAGCAACTTACTCGAAAAAATTTTCACAGGCCCGTACGTGAGTACCACGCATACCCGATCGCTGGGTTTAGACTCATCAATACCTACTTGGACGGGGAACATCCCCTTAAAATTTCAGCCTTCTAGCTTTTCAAATACTCGAGTTAGCAACTCACCCAAAAAAAAGTTCGGCGGGCCGTACGTGGGTATCACGCGGGTAAAAGCACCCATTTCGGAGATGGGACCCGAACAATATGTGGATTAAGTTCCACAAGTTTCAGCCCCGTAGCTTTTGTGGGTCTCGAGATGAAAAATCGGTACAGACGCGCAGACACACACACACAAACACACAAGCAGGCAACCTCTCGTCAATATGCGTTTTTCGCATTGCAGAGCTGCAAAAAGCGCATAAAAAGTTGGTTCTTTTGAAAGCAAGTTCCGCCGGTAATTTTATAAATTTTTTTTTAAAAATGTAAAAAAAGTTGCACAGTCAACTATTTCGCAGTACATGAAGCTGAGGTCAATTCATTTTAAATGTATTAACATTCGTTTGGCAGTTTTTTCACACAAAAATTATAAATAAAAAAAAAAGGAAAGATATAAATCAAGGACACATTAAAGGGTAGAAAAGAGAAATAGAAACTTACGTAGTCCTCCGGGAACATCTCATTTTCGAATCTTCTTGAGTATTTCGCAAACCTGTAATCAGCAAACATTTGTACGTGTCTTTTGAGGTGCTCCTATCAAATACAGTTTAAAAAACATGCAATTTTCATAAGTTGCTATTAAGCATACGTTGACTGGGATGTTGTTAGCTGCCAACCGGACACATCCTTTCCGTCTCCTTCACCGCACACGAATTCATCGGTTTCAACAGCTTGTGCTGAAGGGTCCTCGATCTTTCCACTCTTCAAATCGCTGTAGAATTTCATCAATTCCTGAAAAATATGCAAAATCGATTAACTCTGCTTATGGAGTTGATAAAATTTCGAAAACACGAATGAACTGTTCAGCTTCAAAAAATAAAATTGCATTTCTGCAGAAAAATTATACGAATTAAACAGCAAGTACAGAGATGATACCTCAACTTCGGGATTGAAACCTTGGAACGACATTCGTCCGAACGCAAGATCCTCCAGCACTTCATACCGATTTTCATATTTCACCGATCTGGAATGAAAAAACAGAAATGCTGCGGCCGGAGACGTAAGACATCTGAGTTTTGATGAGACAGACACATTGGGTTTGCCAAATATCAATGCATTCAAACTGTCAAATTAGAATCAATGCACCTACTTCTTCGACAGAGTATAATGATACACACACGCACACACGCACACACACACGCACACACAGACACACACACACATACACATCTACGCTGAAACTCACGCTTACGTTCTAACAGCCGAATTAGGAAAGGCACTGTAAGCATGATCATACAATATGCAGCGTCTGTTTATGGAAAATTATCTGACACTTCTGGAGCAGAAGATACTGGATTATCGGGCGTTTCAGTGGCTGTCCTGTTTTGCTGTTTTCCCGGTTTCTGCTTTTTTTTGCTATTCTCTTCCAATCGCTTCCTCGTCCTTTCCATAAACTGCAAAACAACCATTTTGATGATTCTACATCGAAAAAAAGACAAAATGATTATTCCTCAAATGTGCAGTGCAACACTGGCGTTCTGCAAGGAGGACAAAAAAAGCCAAATTATAGTCATTTTTATGCGTTTTGTACTGTGTAAGAGCAATACAAAACGCATATTGTCACGCGGTTGTCTGTGTGTTTGTGTGTGTGTGTGTGTGTGTGTGTGTCCGCAGCAATTTGTCCGCAGCTTTCAACTCGGGAACCACAAAAGCTTGGAAGCTGAAAATTTAGGGGAACGTTCCCCATCCACGTGTGACCCCGCAAATTTAAATCTAGCCCCCTCCCCCTCCCTGCCCGCAAGTAACACGTACGACCCCGTAAAGGTTGGGTAAAATTATTATCACAGAAAACACGAAAGCTAGAAGGCTGAAATTTTGTGAGTATCTCCTCCTCCTTTGTGGGCATACTCAGAAAATTTAAATTCAGCTTTCCTCTGCTCGTGGGTAACATGTACGGCCCCAAAAATGTTTTGGCGGATAAAATTACTATCACGAGAACCACGGAATCTAGGAAGCTGAAATTTTACAGTAATGACCCCCTGCCCAAGAACGATCTTGCAAGTTAAAATCCACTGTTCCCGCGCTCTCGGTACCACCTACGGCCTCGCAAAAATTTTTGCGGATAAATTATTATTTCGGAAACCAAGAAATCTAGGAAGCTGAAATTTTAGCGTGGCATGCGCTGCCCACGCGCAACTCCGCAAATTTTCAAGGTTCTCGTGGAATTTTTAGCGAGAAAAATCATTATCTCGGGAGCCAGAAGTACTAGGAGACCGGAAATTTCAGGAGAATGTTTCCTGTCCAAGCAGGGCTTCACAAACCCGAATTCAGCTCCTAAGTATGTCGAGATCTTGCGTGCGACCACGTGAAGGTTTTGTCTCAAAGATCATTCGAAGCCAGGGAATTAGGAGATTGAAATTTTGGAAGGATATTCACCTTTCGAGGTTTAAAATTCAGCTGTCTGTGAAATTTTTAACTATTTTTCAGGTCATTTCAATTATTTTTGCACAGACTAAAGTACAAAGCAGTGAAAATCATTAACGGGCAATCGCACCGGCTATTCTGGTGCGCGCTGCTATTACTTTGCTTACAGCAACTGGAAGTCAAACCCTCGCTATTTCATTTTTTATGCGTTTTTTGCAGTTATGCAATGCAAAAAACGCATATTGACGAGAGGCTGTCTGTGTGT